TTGCTTGGTGACACCGATTATGTTTCTGGCTGAGCTTGTGCACGGGGCAGGAGGAGCAGGGAGGTGCCCTCAAGGGGGAGCATGTCGAATGTCTCTTCTTCCTGCATAGTGGGATGAGCACCTGGCTGAGCCATTACTACCCTACCATCACCACCACCAGGGCTGCTCCATGCTCAAAGACTGGCTCTGCGGCTCAGAGGGTGAAGCTGGCAGCATCACTGGGGAGTATGGGTAAGGGAGGCAGAGTGGTTCCATCTCCCTGGCAGCTAGATGAATGAGGGAGAGGAGCAGTTGTTTGAGGCCTGGGCCCTAAGCTGGAATGGTTGTGGGGCTCCCTGATAACCAGTCTAGGGTACCTGCTGGCAGTGGCATTGGGTGGCCACCTGGTGTTCTCTTCTAGCCCACCTGTGTGTGTTATAGGGTTCATGTTGGGCTTGGATTGCAACAGAATGGATACTGAACAGTGTGGACTGACAGAATGTCTGCAGGAGGTCACCCTGGTGGCCATTCAGGCCTGGATGGGCAGAGAACAGCACTGTCACGGCTCTGTGGGTTAAGGTCTTCAGATGTTCAAACCTGGGCTGGCCAGAGAAGGCCGGGTGCGCCTGTGGTTCTATTGGGTATTGGTCTTTTCTTACTAATTTGTAAGAAACTCATCCCTGTGAACACAACTCCTGTAGTCAGCCTTGGCAACGATTTCTGTGTGGGTTGTTTTTTTCAAAATTCTATTATTTCCTAAGGAAAGAAATGAACTTTTATGTGATTAAAATCTGCTAATAAATGTTTGTAAATATTTATATTTATAAATAAATATTTATTTCTTACCACAATGTCCTTTCCTTCCTCAGAAGTCTTTTTGCTGCCAATACTTAAGACAGATTTTCTCCTGGTATAAGGCAGACTTTTAAAGAAGAAAAAACTTCTAGATTTGACCCTGTTTCTTCCTCATTTGTCCAGGAACTGTCAGGTCTGCAGCTGAATCCTGGAGGGGAGGAAGACCCTGCATCTCTCCTTGCTGCAGTAAACAGTACACAGGTCTGGAGGCAGATTTATTTTACATTGATGGGCCTGAGAGGGATTCAGTCAGTCAGCAAAGTATTAGGTCCTGATCTTTGGTGCTTTTATTTTTTTAAATTGTAATTAAGGAGAAAAAGAAAAAAAAAGCAGAAAAAGGGTACAAGTTATACAGAATTTCAGAAAAAAAATAAACATTAGCAAATCACTAGTTAATGGATTACGTATTTTCATCTTAGAAATATTTGTTCAAGTTACAAAATTAAAGCTTATATAGTGGACATTCAAACAGTGAGACCAAACAGTTCTGTTCAATGATCCAACACAACTCAGTAATATCATTGTCTTATCTTATACACTTAAATATACATGCAGTTATATCATTTAGAGCACTTTCTTTTCCTCTCTTTTGTACAATGACTATTACACATTTTGGGTTTTATTGCTCCCACAGTTCTTATTACTTTTTTTGGAAGAGAGTAAAACCAAATGTTACATAACAGAACAGAGTCAGTCAAACCAAAAGGGTGGACATAATAGATAATGTAAAAACATAATACAAGGTGATCAACAATAGTTACCATAATGCCTCCTGCTATCTCTAATAGAATTGCCTATATCATCAGTTATAATAAAATTGAACAAAACAGCAAAGAACGAAACCAAGAAAACCAAAACATTGTAGACATTACAGGTCTTCAGAAGTAGATAATAGTCAACCAGAATGGGTGTCATAATGAATCCCACTATCTTCACAGCTGTTGCCTATACTTTTGAACCTGGTACTATCAAGCAAAACAGAATAGAGGAACATCAGTCAAAACAAGATGGTGAGAGCAATACAGGGCTTCAAATCAAGTTAATAGTAAATCAAAGTGGGTTACTATAATATATCCTGCTATTTATTTATTTTTCCCTTAATTAAAAGGATAAAAATAAAAAAGGAAATAATAAAATGGAGATTGAGATGAAAGAGGGCATAATAACAAAACAGCACAGAAAAAAACATAACCATTTAAGTGAAATAGTGTTTTACCACAAGATAATCCTGACATAAAAGTAGTTACCATATTGTCTCTTTCCTTGAAATCTTTGAGTATAACTTCTTACACTGTAGCATCAAATATATCAAAACAATGTAAACCATTCAAGAGAATGACAGTATTACAGGGTATTTAGAATCAACTAACAGAAAATGAACAATGGTTTCTGTATACTCTCCTTGTCTATAAAAGTTTTTGTTTATACTATCACATATAATAAAATCCAATAAGATACCACATGCTAAGACCAATGGAGACAAAAGAGCAAAAGCTTGATGAGACTTCAAAACAAGATGATACTAAATCAGCATTACCTATTATGACGTCATTTTCTCCAAAATAGCTGTTCCTATCATCCAGTCTTCTCTGCCTCATTTCTGTTGAGCTCTTTTTCTGTCATTAGTTTTCAGTTTGTCTTTTTCATTTTGTTTTCTGCTCCATTTATTGTGGCCTCTCTGCCACTATTTCTGGATTCTTTGTATTTTTCTCTTTTAGAATATCCTGCAGTATTCTCTGTAGAGTTGAATTGGTGGTTGCATATTCCCCTAGTTCCTCTTTATCCTGGAAGCACCTTGTTTTTCCATCGATTTCCAGGTATAGTTGTGCCGGATATAGCAATCTTGGCTGGATATTATTATCTTTCAAAGCTTGAATTATTTCCCCCCATGCTCTTTGTGATTTGATGGTTTGTGCCGAGAAGTCTGCTGTAATTCTGATGGGTGTTCCCTTGTAAGTGGTCTGTTTCTTTTCTCTGACGGCTTTTAATATTCTGTTCTTATATTGGATTTCTGGCACTTTGATTATTATATGTCTGGGTGTAGCTCTGTTTGGGTTGTAGGTGCCTGGGGTCCTGAATGCTTCATACATCTGAGTATCTTTACCTTTTGCTAAATTAGGAAAATTCTCCTGGATTATTTCTGCGAGTAGCTTTTGTAGTTCATTTGTTTGTGTCCCGACTTCTTCTTTTATGTTCTTAATTCTTAAGTTATAGATCCTCTTATCATCTTCTAGTCTTTGTATTATTGCTGTTTGTTGCTTTGTTATTTTTAAGATGTTTTTCATTTCATTCTCCCATATTACAAATCTGGCCTCCAGTTCAGATAATTTGTCCTTAGTTTCTTTCAAGCTGTTATGCCAGTTTTTGATAGAGTTTTTAGTTTCCTGGTAATCTCTTTGAACCTGCTTCACATATTCTATACTTTCTCTATTTTCTCCATCAAACAATTCTCCCCTCTTTTTCTGTTCTTCCATTGCACCATCTGTTTTTTCTTGGGTGGTGCTTAGCATTTCTCTAACTATTCTGCTTATTTCTAGCTTCAGGTCATTAATAACTTCATTCCTGAACTCATCTATGAGGCTCTGGAGATAGCGCTTTATGTCTATTGGTGCCGTGTCTGCTATTGCCTGTTTCTCAGGATTGCGGGCCGAGGGGTCTTTCTTGTTGCTCCCTCTTCCCATATTCTTTGTTCCTTATATATGCAGGTGTATATAGGAGGCCCATCTTCCTTCCCTGTTGGCCACAGTCTGATTGAATTGTGCTGGCTAGGTGTTCCCACCCACCACAGTGCACCGGGGAGTTAGGGACCAGGCAGCCTATGCGGGGCCCACCCCTCCAGGTCACCTTCAGGTGCTGGGACCTGGACTGTGCTAGCCTACTGGGTCTTAGCCAGCAGCGTCACATAGGCTAGGCACTGCTCACCAGTCCCGCTTGAGAGGGGGATATATGGCTGTAGTCACTACAGCGCCCTGTTCCGGCAAATCTGCCTGGTCACAGAATGTCCTCTGTTGGAGCCTCCTAGATTGTGGAAGAGTCCCAGTTTCTCTCACTCACCGCAGGTCGATGCTCGGCTCCCCGCCTGTCCTGCTCTCAACTCCGTTCACCGATTCCCGTTCTCAGAGCTTTCGCGTATCTGTCTCCCTGCCAAGCCGATTCAGACGCAGCTGTGGCGGCAGGAAACCCAAATTGTGGTTTCCAATGGCACGGGCTCCAGCTTCCATGCTGAGGCTTTATCTGTTCCTGTTATAGCACCAGGATTGCATTCCCAGTTGGTATCTCTCAGCCCAGTTTGTTCTTGGGTCAGCAGGGTGTATCTCCTCTCTTGCTTAGGATTCCTCACTCCGCACCATTCCGGGATTCTAAGGTGGGTCTTTCAGAGAGCCTCTGTAGTTGCTGCTATCTGTCCACCATGTTCTCCCCGAAGTCTGATCTTTGGTACTCTAAGGCTTATACCTGCAAGCAAGAAGTACAGAAGCAGAGTATTTGGTGGTTATTGATTGGTTATATCTTAGCTCATTATTACTGATTGGCCTAAAAGAAAACGACATTATATATGTTGTAAGTACACAAATTCAAACTCCAGCCAAGGAGTTATGGGAAATAAGTGCTTGAGATGATGTATGAGTTTAGGGTATGACTGGATAAAGATAATATGTAGCTGGTATTAATAGAAGACAGGAAGACAAATCTGCTTAGGGAGTATAGCTAGTTTCAGGAATTTTAACTCTGAAAAGTGAATTCTTTTCACCCTCAGCAGTGGGAGGGGAGCCCTTGCTGGTCCTTGTATGCTTACCAGGCTATGTCCAGGGGCTTTGAGGGTGGGTGAGTGAGATGGGACTGGTCCTTTTGCATACCCAGTTGGGCTGCCAGGGTCTGCCTGGGGATGGAGGAGGAGAGGCCCAGAGAGGAGCTCAGCTTCCCACACTCTAGCCCAGGAGGTGACCCAGCTGTTCCTGAGAATGGAACAATTAAATCCTTTGACTGAGGTGAGGGGCAAGGGTGTGGCCCACACTGGGAGCCAGCAGGTGAGATTCTTGAGACTTAAGATGGCACTTGGCCACAGTGGCCACACCCCACATGGTGCCTCCGCCCCATCCCAGGCAGCTGACAGCTGGGGGAGCCTGGCGGGCGGGACCTGAGGCCACTCAGACCTCACCTGCTGGTGCCATTGCTGGAGTCCTAAGGCAGCATGGTGTCTCTGCTGGGTGGCTTTCAGAGGTGAGACATGGGTGCAGGGTGGCACAGTGGATCAAGGTGCTTTGCTCCCTGGGTGTCTTGAGAAGCCTGGAGAGAAGAGTTTGTCTTAAAATTCTGCTTGGATTTGGGAATTTTACCTCTAAGGTTTCTCTAAGTTTGGCCTCTTTTTGTTTCATTTTAGATGGCAGAGAAACCCCTCCCTGTCCTACTCAGAGTTGGGTGGTTGTGGGTACCTGGGGCCTGGGGACCCATGAGGTTGGGGTGGCCTGGGGTCTGGGTGATGTCTCTGTCCCAAGACTAGGTTTGTACTTAGAGAACAGTCTTTGGCCGGAGTCCCTCACATCTGTGCATTTCAGGATGCTCAAAAGCAGGGAGTGGGGCCTTGGAGAGGGTAGGGTCCCTGTCTTCACCTCTGTGCGGGGGACTGATGATGTACACCTCCCCAGGGGATAGGGAGAGTTAGGTTTTCCTTCTGTCTAGGCGGGACAGAGGCAGGGGTGCTTTAGATACCTTGCAGTCTACTCCCGTGGCTTCTCTGGTGTTTTGGGGGTTCCTGGAGGGTGGAGCCTCCACCACTTCCCATATCCTGACTCTAGCCAATTTTGCATACGTGACTTGTGAGGACACTTGTGATGGTGTCCCCAGGTTCCCTCCAGCTCAGAGCCTCTGATCCCTGCCCCCCATAACCAGGAGTTGCCACCATATCTTATTTTAAACTCTGTACAGGTAATGGTAGTGGACAGCTGGTCTTCCTGAAGCTAGCTGTGATCAGTCCTGAGAAAGGGCCAAGCTCCCATGCAGCCTGAAAGGGCTGTTGCCTGGGGAGCTGGGGACATCTGGACACTGATCTGGGATCTTGTCTTTGCTGCTGCAGAATGGGTTTCCTGCAGTGCGTGCTAGGGTTTACATCCTTCAAGTCCTTGGCCTTGGGGGCTCTGGGTGCTCTTGACTCCTGGAGCTCATGGGTCCTAGTTATGTTGAGTCATTTCCTGGCCCTGCACAGCACCACCCAATGAGCTCCTGTCCACTGTCCTAGGACTGTACATGCAGGAGGTTTGGCTCCAGGCCCAGGGCATTTGGTTAGCAAAGCAAGGAGTGATAGATGTGGGGACCCAGGGATGGGGTGGGCACCACAACCAGGCAGGGGCATCTGTAGCTGTGGCCAGTTGGAGGAGCCACATGCAGCAGAGATGAAAGACCACTGGCCTGCATGGGTCCCAGTCCTGTCCACTGATTGTGGTAAATCCAGTTTGCTAGTAAAGATAGCAGAGACACAGAGTCTATGCCTGGAATCCCCTAGGCTGAAAGTTGCCCATCAGGGCCCTACCTGCCAGCACTCCTGGCGATGATGCCTCAGGCACAAAGTCTCACTACTAGGTTCATGGTGACCCCAACTTGGAGGCATCCTCAGTAGGCTCCATTGCTGTCAGGGACTCTGGTCTGTGGCTGTGGGCCATGCTGAAATATGCCTTCCAGGAGTCTCACCAACGGACAGGACTCTGTGGCCCTGTGACGGGCTGTAGCCTTGAGGCTGTGTGGCTCTACTCCTGGGGTTGGTAGAGTGTGGAAGCTTGGCCAGCTTGCCAGTGTCGATACTGGTGGTCATGTCTGGGTGGGATAGGGAACTAGAAGAACCTCTTGAGAAGGCAGAGGCTAACTCCCTGTCTGGGAAGCCCCAGCCTGAGCTCCTCACTGAGAAGTCAATGTCTTCCAGATTGGTTGGGTCCCCACCTGAGGTTGAGTCTAGGAGAGGAGTAGCTCTGGCCATAGGAGTCACCATGAAAAAGCCTGGCTTGTGTCTGAATTAGGTATAGAGCCTGATGACCTGTCTCATACCCCAGCCAAGTGGGTGATGTGCTGGTAGGTGCTGGGATGTCACCCCAACCTGTCAGTGGCCCATGTTCAGATCTGGGTGACCCCTGACCTGGGATGCAGACAGGTCCTCATGGGGAATGTATGTGGTGCAGACCCCATGGTAGGGGAAGGCTGCTCAGGTGGTGCCTGGGGATAGAAAGCCTCAGTTTCCCCATTCATTAGTGGCTAAGCCCTTGCTGAAATAAACATCCAGAAAGGTGTAGTTGGATAAAACATTCCAGGTGGCCCTGGGCCCACCAGTTCCCTCTCCCTTTGAAGGTATGGTTATGACTCACACAGTCTCTGATATAGGACCATCCACCTCTCCTTGGTTACTGGCCAGTGGTGCAGGCTCTGGGTCCTGTGTGGCCTTGGGTGGGTCCTCTGGGCACCTGTGTGTGGAGGCTTAAACTGCCTGCTGCTGTGTTGTAGTGACAACATGTCTGGGGATGCAAAGGTTTGGGGCTCCTGCCAGGCAGGTCTGGAGACAGTGTGAACAATCTGGCATAGGGCCTTCTTTCCCGTGAGCAGCAGGGTTCCTACCCCTACTGTGCCTCTCAGCCTGGAAGGCTATGAGAAGCTCCAGGGTGGGTAGGGTTGTCAGTCCTGGGCAAGCCTTTGTCCCTTCATTGCCTCTCCCTGGGAGGAAGGGACTGTAGGGTGAAAGTGGTCATGGCAGCTGCCCCTCAGCACCCACAGGCAGACAGAACTAGCTGTTCCTGAAAATCATTATGGACAAATTACAGGCCCTGGAGCGAAGCCCCAGGCCACAGTGAGCTGAGGGCTTCAGTGGGTGTCAGGTCCCCTGCTGCTGGCTGGCTAGATTGCCTTTTCTGATGGAGGCAACACAAATTTAAAATTTAAAAGTAAATAGTAATTCCTTCTCAGGATGAAGATAGATGAGGGCATGGGGTTGTTTGGGTTGATATCATGGTCATACCAAGAGGATGTGTGGTGGGTGCATCCATGGCACCCAGGCTCTCAAGAAGGGCGGCCACACAGCCCAGGCAGGAGACTGAGCAGCACCACTTCCTTGAGTCCATCCTGGGGCCTCCTGGAGTCTGGGAGCCCCGTGCACAAGCTTGCTGGCCTTACCACAGAGAAGAAATGTCTGTGGCCTTTAATGCAGGGAGCCGCCCGCATTGACAGCCAGTCAGGTATCAGTTGGCCACCTTCCTGGTTAGCATTCAGTTGGGATGGTGGCAGCAAGCTTGTTAAACTTTTAAGAGGTTCATCTCTGTCTCAAGGGTAGATTCACAGCCAAGAGATGCTTAAGTCTATGTCCTAAGGGGAGAATTAGTTTTCCTTTTTGTACCTGGGAAATGCTATTTACTTTTTAACTTTGTTTTTGTCCTTCCACAGATGAGAGAGGTTAGACTCGCTGGGGTGGTGTGCAGGTCTCTGGGCTGTGGCTCTTGTGTCCCCTCCTCAGGCAGGTAGTGGGTTTGCAGGGTGGTGTGTGTAGCTAGAGTAGGGTCAGGTGACCAGCTGGGCACATCCTCAATCTCTGCCCCAATGCCGGGTCTCAGGACTGCTCCTGCCTGGGCAGTCTTTTGGTGGACCATCAGATGGCCAGTGTGTGCTGGGCGGCAACTTGTTCATGTTTGAGGAAGGGCTTTATCTGGAACAAATAAATGTAGGGCCAAGTAAGTGACAGGTAAGTCCCCGCAGGGCTCTTATCAGATGGGTTAAATCCTAACTATATGGGGCTGTAAAACCTTCCGTCCCTCAGGCACAGGCTTCACAGCCACCTTCCCAGGAGCTACTGTCTAAGCTACTGTGTATGGCTCCTTGGTGACTTAGGACCTGACTCAGGGTAGTCCTGTAGGGATGGAGAGCAGTCATCCCCTTTCACTCAGAGGTGGCACCCCCAACAGGGATGCTGACCATCATTGTTGGCCACTCACTTTTCTCCATCTGTCCTTTCCTGCCCTGGGCCTGAGCACCCACAAAGTTTCTGTACACCGCAAATGTGAAGCCCACAAAGGCCCCTTGGTCCACTGTGGCCCAGGGAGATGTTCCAGGCTGCTCTGAGCTGTGGCCAGAGGTCTTTGGGGGAAAGTGTGGAGGTAAGGGTATTAGGCCTGCAGGATGAAAGTGTGGCTAGAGGGGAGCCTTGCAGGGCTGGATGGGGGTACTGCCCTGGGGCTCGGAACTGTCATGTATGCACTTAAGGAACTTCTCATCCTCCCATCTGCATTTCTGAGACCCATACTTTTGGAATGGAAAACAGGAGAGCACATGGAACAGGAGGTGACTTGTAAAGCTGTGGCTACCACCTGGACACATGGGTGTGGCCTTGGTGGTGATTCTCTTGCATGTCCAGCCCAACTCTGGCCAGTGAGAAGGCCCAGGAGCACCCAGTACTCAGACTAGGAATCTTCTGTAGGGCCTTTGCCCAAACGTGAGCCTCTTGCATCAGAAATGTGAGGGCCTTGTTCTGGTCAGCAAGGTAGGGAACCCTATCTCACTGCTTGCTGCTCCTGCTCTCCCATCCTGAGTAGATGCATGTGCCCCACCATGCCAGATACCTGCCTTAGTCCATTGTCAGCCAGTCAGTTGCTAGCAGGATTAGGGTTAGGGTTAGGGTTAGACTACCACCTATGTCCTTCCAGGAAAGGGGCGGAGTATAAGACATGAACTGTGTGTCCTTTAGCAGGGTGCCAACCCATCACTGGGTTCAATATCATGACTTCCTCCAGCTCTTGTCACCCTTACATACTGGCACCAGTTGGTGCTCTATGATGGGTTTAGGTGTGCAGTACAGTCATGGGGTCTTGGAGCTTGACACTGGCCTGTGTCTCTCTCCCTGTCCACCTGGCCCTTGTACCCTGTTCTCCTGGTCCTGGATAGAGTGGGCTGAGCTGGGTGTGGTGGTGTGACAGGGTCAGGACCAGGATGAGGGAGGGTTGTGTGGGCCTTTGTGACACTGAGGTTCACGCACAGGTCGCTCTGGACCATCCTCCTCCTTGTGGTGTTGGCTGTGCTCCTGCTGGTTGGCCTCCTACATACTCATGTCAAGCTGTTACTGCCGTAAGTCCAGTGTGGGGTCCCTGTACCCTAGGAGAAGTCCCTACCTCTGCAATCCTAAGGGCTGGGCTAGGACTTCATGCTGTCCACTATGGGGCATCAGCACCTGCTGGCAGCCTGGGGCAGGTCATATGTCCCCACTGAGCTTCTATTTCCCATACTGGAAAGGCCAACGGGCCTTCCTGGGAGATGTTAGTGTCCCGGGCCCCCTGAAGAGGTAGCCTGGCCCTCAGTGTGAGGTCAGGGAGGGTGAAGGTCAAACCTGTGTTTTCTTACTGCCAGAATCCCACAAGTAATCTTCCCAGCTGATGGCACTTCTGGCAAGAAGCCCCAACTCTGCACGTGCTCCTGCCCATCCCTTGGTTCCCAGGCCAGTGCAGGGCTCTGGACCTTGCCCTCTGGCATTGGGGTAGGGAGGACCCAGCACCTGTCCACTTTGGCCCCATGTTGGGCTGGCTTCAATTCACGGCCCTTCTGTCCCAGGATGAAGGCTTGGGGTCAGCTTGGGAATAATGGATGTGTGGCTGAGGTCAGTGGGCCAGTGCTATGTGGGTACCTTGATACCAAGGAGCAGGTTGTAAGTCTGAGAGGTGTTTGAGCTGGCGCTGAGCCTGCAGGCTGGGAAATCATCTGTCCCAGTGGGCCTCCTGGGCTGCAGGGTGAGGGGGGCTGTAGACAAGGGCCACAATGATGGGGCTGGGATTGGGGATTCAGGTCGGGGGTGTGGAGAGAAGGGCTGTCAGGGCATGGTTCTGCAAATGGCACATTGCCAAGGTTGAGCCTTCCTGCGCCCTCCGTCCAGCCAGCTCAGGGCTGAGGTGGAGAGGCCACCTGTTACCAACATCATGTTCCTCAAGACACACAAGACAGCTAGCAGCACAGTGCTCAACATCCTCTACCGCTATGCTGAGACGCACAACCTGTCTGTGGCGCTGCCTGAGGGCCGCAGTTTCCACCTGGGCTTCCCCTGGCTCTTCGTGGCACGTTACGTGGAGGGTGCTCTGCAGGCTGGGCCTCACCCTGGGCCTCCTCGACAATTCAACATCATGTGCAACCACCTGCGGTTCAACCTGCCAGAGGTAGGGTCCTAAGGCTGGGCAAAGTGGGGACTACAGGTTCAGGGTGGCAGAAGCCAGGAAGTGGAGCAGAGTTCTTACTCCAGGCTGCCAGGGGCCTGCAGTTGCTCTTGGAATGAGATCCAGCAACCTGCAGTCCTCTGCCTGGCACCGGTAGTTCTGTCTGGTTCCTATGCCTGCAGCTCTTTCTGCTCTGGACCTTGGTACCAATACTCTGGTGAGGATGTGCCTCACAGAAATCCCTCCTGGTCATCTGGGTCTCTGCTGAGGGATCAGCTCTTCCGAGGCTCCACTGATTTTCCTTCCAAACAGAATTGTGTGTGTGGTATGACTTGGCACAGGTGCAGCCCAGAACACAGGCTTTCTGGGTGGTGGGCTGCACGGAGGCCTGGACTGGCAGGGCGGGGCTGGGCGGGGAGAGGTGATGCGGGAGGAGAGTAGCACGTGGCTGTGCTGGTGGAGACAGGCAGCCCAGGGGTGTCCTGGACTGTCACCCCAGTGAGTAACATGGGAATCCCTATGGGAAACAGGAGTGAGGAGGAACTCAGATGCCAGAGATTCGCAGGCTGTGCCCGGCCTCCCTGCAGCAGCATGGCTGTCTAGCTGATTGCCCTGAGGCATGAGGGCATCAGGAGGGCGCTTTCTGTGTACCTGGGCCCCGTCATCTCCGCAAGCCTGTAGCACTTCCCGCTGTGTCTCCACAGGTGCAGAAGATCATGCCCAAGGACACCTTCTACTTCTCCATCCTTCGGCACCCGGTCACCCAGCTCGAGTCCTCCTTTATCTACTATAAGAACTATGCACCTGCTTTCCGCGCTGCTAGCAGCCTGGAAGCCTTCCTGAAGGCGCCGCACCGCTTTTACAACAGCAGTGCCGGGCTGGAGAACGTGTATGCGCGCAATAGCATGTGGTTTGACCTGGGCTTCAACAGCGATGCTGCTGCTGATGACGCATACGTGCGTGCTCGCCTGGTGGAGGTGGAGCAGCGCTTCCAGTTGGTGCTAATCGCCGAGTACTTTGACGAGTCCATGGTACTGCTGCGGCGCTTACTGCACTGGCAGCTGGATGATGTGGTAGCCTTTCGGCTAAACGCGCGCAGCCCGCACAGCGTGGTGAGCCTGTCTCCCCAGGGCCGGGAGCGCGCGCTGAGCTGGAGCGCCCTGGACTGGCGCTTGTACATGCACTTCAACCGCACTTTCTGGACGCGCGTGCGCGCTGAGCTGGGCCCGCGCCGCCTGCGCGCAGAGGTGGAGCAGCTGCGTGCTCGCCGCCTGGAGCTCCAGACTCTATGTTTGGAGGAAACAGCGCCTCGCAGCGGGGCGAGCATTGCAGACCCGCGGCTGCGCCCCTACCAGTCTGGTGATGCAGACATCCTGGGATATGTCCTGCGGCCGGGGCTGGACAACGCCACGCTACATCTGTGCCAAAGGATGGTGATGCCTGAGCTACAGTACATGGCCCGACTGTACACGCTGCAGTTCCCCCAGAAACCCCGTAAAAGCATACCCTTCCTGGAGAACTAGGGACCTTGGGGCCTGCCCCTTTCCAGCCTTCCTTGGACATCCAGGCCGCAGACCCTCAGGCTGACCCACCAGGGGCACAGTCCACCTGTCCCTGCGGTGAGAGGGCTTCCAGGGGATATGCTTGACAGGCAGACTGGGCTGTGGTCCCAAAGGACCTCAGAGCGTTTCCCAGAACTTCCTTGACCCAATGTGGCACTGATTCTCAGGGAAGAACCCAGGACCACTCTCAGAGCTGGACCTGCAAACGGCAGCGTGGTGAGCAGTTTATTTCTGACTGAAAACGGTTTAGTTTAGATTTAGAGACCATACCAATGTTATACTAAGATGTTAAAGATTAAAATAATTGATTAAAAGATAACAAGAATAGTTACTTAAAAAGATAGTTATTAGTAATATTGTCATTCAGTACTGAGCTCATTACCCTAGTCACCAAGCACCAACCACATAGTTATAAATTAACTGACCGCGTCGGTTTGCTGTTCTGTAATGCGTCATCCCCTCCACCTTAGTGACCTGTGTGCTATGTCAACTTTTGTTCCCCTTGTAAGAGACAAATGATGCTGTGTTAACCATTCTTCCCTTCAGGAGAGACAAATGTTCCTGGAATTGGCGGACCAAGGGCTATGAATTGGCTAACCACCCACTGTGAAATGCCTCTTACCTCAAGCAAAGGGGAACAAAGGCCCACCTTATTTCTGTTTCCCATCACTATGTACTTAATGATCAATGAGCTAATCATAAATGGACTATAAAAATCAGTCAAAACTCTAACTCAGTTGCACAGCTTTGCAAATTCCATCTGCACTGTGTCACTGGGCCAGCTAAAATAAAAGCGCTTCTTTTGAAAAAGAGGTCTTGCACCGTTTGTCATCTTGGGGTCTTGCCCTGTTTTTCATCATGGGGCCCTGTTTTTTGAGTAGAGTACAACATTTGCGGCCTCGTCCGGGATTACATGGGGACCCCTCCCCACATTTTTTCACCGATTGATTGGCTTGAAACATCTGTAAGTATTTGGATCTTTTGTTCTTTGTAATTTGAGTGCGCACCTTTGAAGTTGTAGAGGAGCTGGCTGGTTCCTTTTGCACCGGAGCGGGACGCCCTCCGGGACAGGGCTTCTAGCCCATTTGTGATTTGGGATTTTTTATCGATTTGGTTTTGTGCTTGGTATGTTTTTACGGTGGAGCCATTTGTTCATTTCAATCTGTTACCTCAATACTAGCATTTAGATTTCTTTTTTCTCTGAAACTACTGTTGCAGGTTCCATGCGGCTTATTGGACTTAAGGGTCATAATAAAAATTTATTTCCCTTTAGGTCGCTGAACCATGGACAAAAAATCCTTTGTTTGTGTCTTTAATGTTGGTCTTGTCTTTTGTGGCACCTTGTTTAATGTTTTAATCCTCAACTGATTATGTACAACCTTGGCATGCCTTTAAAAGTATTTTATACATATATACATGTATATTTACACACACACACACACACACACACACACACACACATATATATATATATATATATATATATGTTTATGGTTTTTATGATCATACTGGCTTTACCAAATAAAGCCAGGTCATACTGTTATTGAGCCAGTTTAAAAAGTTACAGTGTTTAAAGTATAACTTTTAAAGGTGGTAAAAAGACATAAAATGATTTAATATATTTTAGATTACTAAGAAAGTCACTTAAAGGATTTTGTTAAAAATTTTAATGTTGTCTAAAAAGCTAAAAAAAGGTAATTGACTGGTAATAAACAGAAACAGAAAAACAGAAAAACAAATGTGTTCAGAATTTGATAGTATTGGATCAGTAAACCTTTACTGCAAAATGTTTCCATTAAAAGGAGATTATATTCTAAAAAGGGGAGGACAAACTGGAGCCCTTTGTCATCCTAAGTTTATATAATGATAAAAAGTCAGTGTTGACCATATATAAAATATATTTGCCTATGAAAATAAAAATTAAAAGGACTGTAATTCTCAGTCCCATCCAGACTAGAAGCCATCAGTGTTCAGAATTGCTGGACTCCTCTTCCTCACCCCCCTTTTACTAAGGACCCTCGGGGCCTCATTTCTCTTTTGAAATTTGTCTTCTCCATTCATCACCCCACTTGGGATGACTGCCAGCAGATTTTGCAGGTTTTGTTTACAGTAAAAGAGAAAAAAAAAACCATTCATGTTTTGGGATAAAAAACAAGTGTACATTCCAAATAGTTGTGTTTTCCCTTTGTCCCGCCCTGATCGGATAACCAGAGGTAAAAAGGCTCTCCTTCAGTATCGCCAGTTGTTCTCAAAAGCCTTTAAGGGCTGCCAGAAAACCCACCAATTTGTCCAAGGTAGCAGAGGTGAGACAATTGGATGATAAGTCTCCCTCAGGGTTTCTGGAGAGATTGCTAGAGGCCTATTACATTTGTACACCTGTAGATCTGGTAGCACCTAAAAAGACAAGGGCGTTAATAATACCTTTGTATCTGTTGGCACCTGATATTAAGTGAAAGTTGCAAAGACTTGAGAGATTTAAAAAAATGCCTCTAAGTTAGTTATTAGAGTTTGCTTAAAACTGACTCTTTCCTCCCAGCTGATGCAAGCCATTGAACAGATTCCAGTTCCTGTGACTAAAAAGCAAGTATAAAAATTTCTAGGAACCATAGGATATTGCCTGCCTTAGATTACAGACTCATGAGACCAGGCTTTTCAGCAATTAAAATCAGCCTTAACAAAAGCTCCAGTTCTGGCTCTGTCAAAGTTGCAAAAACCTCTTTCCCTCTATGTTGATAAAAAACAAGGGATAACAAAAGGAGTACTGACCCAGAGTTTAGGACCATGGCAAAGGCCTATTGCCTATATTTCCAAGAAACTTGATAATGTGGCAGCCCAATGGCTGCTTTGCCTGAAGATGATTGCCTCAGTGGCCCTCCTGGTAAAAATGGCCCAAAAGGTGACATTTGGACAAAAACTTTTAATTATCTCCTCTCATTCACTGGAGATTCTCATCAAAGCTTCACTGGATGGATGGCTGCCTTCAGGCATTACTTCTGGATCTGACTACCATCAGTTTCAAGGGGACAGTGTCTTTAAACCCAGATACTCAGCTGCCTGATGATGACCTCTCCTTGCCCTTCTGATCATTTCATGGGGCTTCGACCAGACTTGACAGATGAACCACTCTCCGGAGTTCCATCATATTTCTCTGATGGAAGCAGTCACATCTATCAAGGTAAGCAGATCATGGGAGCCGCTGTTACAGACTCTCAGATTCTATGGGAACAAACCTTGGAGCCAAAAACATCAGCCCAATGGGCTGAACTCATTGCCCTCACTGAGGCCCTCAAGTTGTCAGACTGATAGCAGATATGCATTTGCTACTAGCCATGTTCATGGGGCCATTTATCAGGAATGAGTTTCATTGACTTAAGGTGGCCAAAAGATAAAAATAAATTTTGGATTTGTTAGCTGCCATTTGGATGCCAAGAAATATGGCTATTAAATAATCTAACAGACACAGCTACCCAAAGAGCAGCCACAAAATCAGTGGGGATTGAGACAATCCCAGCATTGCTACTGATTCCACCCACTCTGTCAAAGCCCTTTTGCACTCAAAAAGACTTATATTTGGCAGCTCAACTCCAAACAAAGTCTGATATCCCTGGGGGCTGGTACCAACTGCCTGATAATTGAGTCCTCCTCCTCGAGGCCTTAAGATAAAAACTCATCCAACAAGCTCATTAGTCCACTCACATGGGAGGATCAAAACTCGCTGCTCTTTTTGAGATCATTTCTTTTTTTTTTTTTTTTTTTTTTTTTTTTTTTTTTTATTTAAGAGGAAAAAGAGAAAAACACAAAACAAGACAAAGCAGTGTAAGGTTACACATAATACAGAACTACAAAAAAAAAAATAAACATAATAGTAAGAAATCACCTGTTAATAGATTACATAATATCATCTTGGAAATAGTTGCTCAAATCACAGTATCAAAGAATACAAAGTAGACATTCAAACGGAGAGACTGCAAACAGCTGTGTTCAATGATCCAAAAACATTAATATAGTCAGCTATTTAACATCCCTAAACACACTTGTTGTTATATCCGTTAGAGCTCTTTTTTTTTTTCCCTCCCTCTCCTTTTTACAACAAAACTTACACATTTTGGATTTTATTACTCCTCAGTTCTCATTACTCTCTTGGGGGGGAGATAATAAAGTCAAATATGGCAAACAACCCAAGTGTCCATCAACTGAGGAATGGATAAAAAAGTTGTGGTATTTCTATACAATGGAGTATTATTCAGCTATAAAGAAGGATTGCATTGAGATCATTTCTTTATCCCTCAGTTATCGAAGCTTACTCATTCTGTGAGCCTTAGAGGCCGTCAATGCCAGTTGCTAATCCCTAAGCAACCACAACAAATGGAAACCACTTGGTATCATGGGACTATGCCTAAAAAACATTGAAAAATAGAGTTCACAAAAATAAAGAAGCCTGGACCTTAAGGAAATGAGTACTGGTAGATAGCTTTTCCTGCTAAGTCTTGAGTCAGCCCTGATAACAGTTTCCCCAATTTGGCCTTCCTTTATCCATGGGGTCTGTCAATGTCCCGGCTTTTATAGCCCAGATAACTCAAAAACTAACCCAAGCCTTGCAGATTGATTAAAAACTCCATTGTGCTTACCAGCCTTAAAGTTCAGGACAAGTAAAAGGATAAACCAGACTTTAAAAATGATAATAACTAAGATGGCATTAAAAACTGGTGAGAACTGGGTGAGTCTCCTTCCTTTTGCCCTCTTGCATGCACAATGTACCCCCTATGTTACAGTTGTTTCCCCTTTAAAGTTCTATGTGGGAGACCTCCTCCTCTTATTCCTAAGATTTCTGAAAAAAAAAATTAGCTGATCTGGCTAATCAAGATCTTGTTAAGTTCCTGCAGGCCCTTCATCTAGCTCTGACTTCCATCTGCCAGTTATTCCGAGAACAACAACCTCTGCCTACAGTCCATCCTGAGGATAAACGTCCTGCAGTAAAACCTAGGACACTACTCATCAAGAGACATCACCGTGAGTCTCTCAAACCATGGTAAAAAAACCCTTACACCATGGTCCTCAACACTCTGACTGCTGTCAAAGTCACGAAAAAGCCTGCCTTGATTCATCATTGCCACTTCAAGCCAGTTCTGGCCTCTGACAGTGATCAACCTACAGATAAGTGGACTGTTGTTCCCTCCAAGGATTCTTTAAAGCTTAAGATTGCCAAATGTATCTGATAATCTTGTTCTTAAGTGTTATTCCTTATGGAGACCCCAAGGAGATACCTTGTAACCCACTGTTTAAAACTTAAAATTACTGACTATTTTACTGTTAAATTATTGGTAGCCAATGCTACTTTCTATGAGATAATTAAGATAGATTTATGTTCCCTATTAGATAACATCCCAGCAAAAATTAGACAAAAAAATGTTGTTGGGTTTGCATGTCATGCTGCCTGATTGGTTGCTAATGGAGACTTACAGGGACGTATGTATTAAAAAAAAAAAATTACAGTCCACTGGCTGGTATCTTTGTCCCCAAAAGCAACAGCCAGCCTCTGATCATAGATATTCACAGTCCATAGAGACAAAATATTTTTGTAGACATTGGGGTTGTAAATTTGTATCTCCTTGACAAAAAAATAAAGGGGGTCGTTACCTTTTTCCTCACTCTAGAGACCCAATCTTCTGTTCTCCTCCACTAGATTTCCTGCTCCTGAGACCTTTTTGCCCTTTGCGATTTCTGTGACATCTCTAGCCCCTTCTTGCCTCTGGACATTGCTTATGACAAATCAACTTTTAAATTCCTGTATAGATGACACCTTTTGTTGG